CAAAATGGCGCGAAAACGTTCCAACGTCCAAGAGCGAACAAGGGAACGGCCGAAGACGCCAGCCCCAGCCTGTCGAACACAGAGGTCGGGGTGGTAGGTCCAGCGAGGATCCCACCGGCGGCAGCGAGCCGCGGCGTCAGCGACATCAAGGTGTATCCATGTTCCGAAAAGACAACCACACCAAGACATATCGGCCCAGACCCAAAGGGTGAAAAGGCACCGAATGCACGCTCCCGTCGAAACGCGGCGCGTGCACGGCACAGTGTCACAGCGCAGTCCAATGAGGCGGAGAGCACAAGCGGAACGAGACTGTGTATACCCAGGCAAGTCCCACAAAGCCACTGATCCAAGGTCGCGGTAGGAAGCCGTCCAGCAATTACGTCCAGAGGGCACCGATCCATGGAGCCTGCAGGGTACCACAGGCCGACTGGGGACAGGTAGCAACTGAAGAGCAGGCGGCGAGCAAGTCGCGACGTAAGAAGCGCACCCAGGGTGTGGAGAGTGATAACTAGACAGAACAACCACACCTGAGATGCGACAGCCCGGATCCGACGAGTGGAAGGTAGGGAAGGGCACGATGCACGGCAGACCCCTAGGAGTGTGCACATCAAAGGTGGCCCAGCGATACCCATCCGAGTCGTCTAGCACAGAGGGACGAGGACGTCTTGTACCCGAGACGTGTCCCACAGAGCCAACGGATCCAGGGTGGCGGCGGAAGGCCGTCCTTCTTGTTTGAAAGGTCCAGGGTGACGGCGGAAGGCCGATCGTTCGGTTAGAAAGTCCAGGGGGAAGCAAGTGCCCACTGACAGGCCAGGAAGGCCTGGCGGTGAGACAGCTACACTAGGGCCTGGGGCCGCGAGTCCACTGCGGAGAGGCAGTGGACGGCATTGCCAAAGCGCACACCTGGATCCAAAGGCAGGAGGTGCGCGCAACGGACGGAGGGCGGCAGAGCGCCGCGATTAGGGGCCAGCGGCGCAGCCTGGGCAGCGTCCGCTGGGATTCAGGAAGTGAAACATGGCGGGGGGGAGAGGAGCCGAGTGACAAGAGGGCGTCGGCCACCGGTGGAGAAGGCAGTGATGCCAGTGGCAAGTGGTTTGCAGGATGCGTGGCGCCACGCACGGAGCAGACGGCATTACCGAACGACACCCCAAGGCAACGGGCGAGAGAGGGTGCCGCTCAGGGGATGGGGGGCCGGGCCGCCACAGGTTGAGGGAAAGGGCGGCGGAGGGCCGCGGTGGCGCGTCGCGAAGCGCAGGCGGTGGGGCGGGCACTGGGGGGCGGTGAGGGCAGAAAGGTAGTTCAGTCTTTCCAGCGGAGCCTCTTTTCATCTCGATCATCCCGATCATCAGGGCAACCTCCGCCGCGCTTGCCACCCGCCTGCCAGTGATCCTCACGCCATCCGTCGCGCCACTCGCCCTGCCAACTGCTCCAGGAGCCCCGGGAACTTCTCGCACGGTCGCGCCAGCCCGTGTGGCGATAGCCGCCTTTGCTCCAGTCGTCTGTCTGGGAGTGCCGCAGGTAGTTGGCTCGCATCTTGTTCCAGTCGATACCATAGCTCAGTCTCCTGTCCATCTCGTAGGCGTCGTACCCGCAGTCCTTCCAGGCCTCTAGGAAGTTGATGATATCCGCGGGCGTGTGTAACGTCGGGTCGGACTTGGGCGCCCTCCATCCAGGGGGCAGAGTACGCCGCGTGTTCGCTGTCCACAGTGCGCAAAAGACTGCTCCCAGCTGCGACGGAAGCCTGGATATGCAACTGGCTGGCGTCTCGTCGGGACGCTCGAGCTCGACGGTGCCCAGCCTGACTTCGCACATTGGGCCGCCTCCCTCAGGGCAGGACAGCGCGTTGAGTGCGTCCTGCTCCGAAGAGCCAGCGTGGCGAGAGTAGTGGGGCCTCCGCTCAGGGGGCGTCGGGGTGGGCGCGGGAAGGCGCTCGTACCGCGAGGTGCCACCGTCGCTGGTCCTCTCGTGCCTCGCGGGGTTTCGAGCTGGAGCCCTCCCGCGATCGGCGTAGGGCGCGCCCTCTGTGACTGAAGTCGCAGCATCCTCGCGGCTGGCGTCGGAGCTGCCCGCCGACGGGCTACGCTGTGGGCCATCTCCGCCAGAGCGATTCTCGTCACCCTCCTGGGCCGACTCAGAAGGCGTGGGAGGACGGGCAAGTCCATCCTCTTCGTAGTCGGGCCCCATCTTGTGAAGGGGGAGCCCGTCTTCCGCGCCTTCACCGCTGTCGTCGTCGGGCGGGTCATGGTGGCCCATGTGCGAGTCGTCCGCTGAACCCTGAGACCTGTCTGCGTCGGCCGCCATGGGAGTATCTGGCCTGTCGTCACCACCAGAACGCGCACCAGATGGAAGGGACCCTGCCAGGGAGGTGATCTCTGGCGACGCGCCAGAGCTGCCTGCGGGGCTGGGTCCAGGGGGATTGCTTGCCCCGACCTTGGTGAATTGGTCCTGGGCTTTGGCGTCCTCGCCAGGCCACGGGAGGGAATCCACGATGTCCACAGGTGCCTCGAACCCAATCTGGCTGCTGAGCGGGGGAAGGGCCGGAGGTTCATCTGGATACAGCGGCCTGAAGTCGCGATCCAGGATGGTCCAGGGTGGCCGGGCCAATGTTCCAAATCGGGACCAGACAGCGCCGGCAGCACCAAGTAGCGTTCCATTGGCGTCCCCACCAGGCCAGGGCACGCTTATCGATGGGGGGCAGTCCATGTTGCTCGGGAACTCCTGTCTTCAGCCGGCTTCCATATGAAGCACCCCAGCGGCGGAGAGCCGGGGTCCCAGACCAGGAGCGGGGCCCCCTGGGGGCAGGTGTCGCACCGCGCGGAGTAGGTCCGCGTTTGAGCAGCTTTGATGCCGAACGGGTCGTCCCGGATCCGGAGGACCGGAATGGTGCTATTGGCATACTCGGGGATCTTCATGCCCGTCTTTTCCATGAGGAGGTCATCTAACTGCCTCGTGTCCGCCAGGGGGCTGCAGCCGTAGCCGAGCGGAAGGAGTCCCAGGGAAGGGAAGACACTCGCTCTGTCGTTGCAGGTCCCCGATATCTGCTGCGCATGTTCCCTGATTTTGTCGGTGAGCTTCGTTCCGGCAGGCGTAGGGGAGCCATTGTCCTCGAGGTGCCGTATCCAGCAGCCAGCGCAGTACCAGCCCATGTTGGCGCCTTCGATGTACTCCTGAGGTCTATTCTGAGCGACCATCTGGCGCGTGCTGTCGGAGATCCAGGCACCATCAGCGGCAGTCAGGTAGTCCTTCCCGCAACTGTCGCACGCGTATCTGTTGTTTTTCTTTTCGAGCGCGAGCCTTTCGTCGGGGATGAACGGAGGGTCCAGTCTGGTGCCCGGGGCCGGTGCCGGTGGTGGAGGGGCGTTGAGGTCGGTCTGGGACAAGGCAAGTCCGCCGCTGATGTAGGAAAGGCCCGCAACCCTGTCGTCGGGACCAATGGAGGCGTCGGAACCAGCCAGTGCGACGAGCTGTACTTCAGAAGCTGAAGAAAGGGAAAGCCGCCGGCCCAGATGATGTACCACCGGATTTTTGGAAAGTATTGGTATCTGATACAACCGCGTGCGGCGTTTTGCTCGACATGTGTCAGAAGTGTTGGGAACAAAAGGCCATTCCAGAAATTTGGAAACGCGCGAACGTGATACTATTACTCAAAAAAGGGAATATCCTTTCGCCGGCGAACTACAGGCCCATATCCTTACTTCCGGTGGGTTACAAAGTTCTTGCAGCACTACTGCACCGAAGGCTTCTACACGGCGGAGCAGAACGTCGACTACGAAACTCTCAGTACGGCTTCAGACCAGGAAGGGGCACTCAAGATGCGCTCATGCTGGTCCGGCGCATCATCAATGCAGCGTACCAAGACAAAAATGGCGGTATACTTCTTGTAATGTTGGACTGGGCCAAAGCATTCGACAGGATCAAGCCAGACTGCATGTGCGACGCCTTGGGTCGTTTTGGTATTCCAGCAGATATGGTGGTCATGATTAGATCAATTTATGGGGCGAGATATTTCACTATATTGAACCATACAGGCTTTTCCACTGAGAGGCAACAGCGGGCGGGCATAGCACAAGGGTGCCCTGTATCACCATACTTGTTCATCATCGTACAGAGCGTGATGCTGTATGATGCCTTTGGCCAACTCGATCTACAAGAAGATCCGGCATATGTCGTGACGCGCGATATCCATTATCGCCGACGATACACACTTCTACTTTCGCGTCACAAGCAAAATATGGAACATATGCTCTTGGCCATTATTACAGAAGGTAAAAAAATACGGCTTGGAACTGAACTGGGACAAAACTTTACAAATGCAAATATCAACACACAACGTAATATCACGACCAGACGGGGGCGCAATCAAGTCCGTCCGCGAAGCTGTTTACCTAGGAAGACTGATTACCTGCGACGGGAAAGTTGCCACGGAACTGACGCGGAGACTAGGAGAATGTACAAAGATGTTCAAGCAGTTGGATAAGCTCTGGAGCCATGCCTCGATTGGAAAACGGCGAAAGCACAGTATTTACACAAGTTGCGTGGTGAGCAAGCTGCTCTACTCATTGGACTCAGTTTGGTTACTGAAAGCAGACAGGGCGCGCCGTGATGCTTTCCACTGCAGGTGTCTACGACGCATTGTCGGCGTACCTCCTTCGTTCATCTCGAGAGTTAGCAACGCAGACATTCTGAAGAGAGCTGGCGCGAAACCTCTGTCGGATGTTCTTCTGGACAGGCAGGGGAAGGCGTACCTCAAGATTTCCAGAAGTGTGCATCCCTCCTTGGTGCGACAAGTTGTATGCGAGCCAGATGGGTCACCAAAGTGTTGGGCGCTACATCGACGACGAGGCCGGCCTCGGCAGCAGTGGGCTTCTTCAGTGTACGGTCTGAGGCAATCTCGCCTTCCTCCCTCCCCTCCCCCTTCTTAGTTTTGCAGCACTCGTTGTACACTTGCAGTTCATGTTTTCCGTTCGGTTGCCAACGTCGCAACCTGAGTTTGCCAACGCGTCCCACCGGATGCACGGCCGAGCGAGCGAACCTTTCCCCATCCCCCTCTTTCGTCCGGCCCGATCATCCAAGGTACATCCCCTAGCCTCGGACCTCAGGCCAGCCAGCCCTCCACCGGCGGCAGGGCGTCCAGGCAGGCCCTCGCGGGCGGCCGGCCCGCTGGGCGCGGGCACAGCATCGACCCCATGTGCGCCGCGCCCGCCGCGCCTGCGGGGCAGCGCCAGCGGACCACCACCGAGCGACGACGACGACGACGACGACGACGCCTCAGCGGGCCACCACTGAGCCACCCAGGAACGCGCCGCCAGAATAGGACCACAGCCGCTGCCGCTGGGTCGTGCCCCGAGGACTCGGGGAGAGGCGGGTCTGCATCCGCCCGCCAGCGCGGGCGGGCAGATCTCGACGTCCGCCGCCCCTCGAGACCTCGGGGCACGACTCCGGAGCGGTGGATGGGGGCACGCTCTGGCGGCGGACTGGGCGACGAAAAGAAGCGGATGGCACACCCTCAGATCCTGGCGCCGCATCATCTGCGCACCCCGGGACTCTGCCTCGTCTCCGGCCCTGGCGCCCTCGCGGAAGGACCAGCTCGAAGCAGAGCGCGGAAAGATTGGGTCCAGGGCTCTGGGCGTGACTTCCTCCCCCCCCGTCCTGTGTGTTGGGTCCTCGTTCTGAACCCGCAGCGTCGCGCCGGACCTCCTCCTCCTCCCCTTCCCCTCCTCTCCTCTCCTCTCCTCTCCTCTCTTCTCCCCCCTCCTCCTCCTCCTCCTCCTCCTCCTCCTCCTGCTCCTCCTCCTCCTCCTCCTCCTCCTCCTCCTCCTCCTCTCCTCCTCCTCCTCCTCCTCCTCCTCCTCCTCCTCCCTCCTCCTCCTCCGCCTCCTCCGCCTCCTCCGCTCCTCCTCCCCTCCTCCTCCTCCTCCTCCTCCTCCTCCTCCTCCTCCTCCTCCTCCTCCTCCTCCTCCCCTCTCCTCTCCTCCGGCCTCCTCTCCTCTGCCTCTGCCTCGGCCCTTCCGCTCCGGTCGTGTTTTTTTGCGATGCTTCAGTGTACTCGCGCCGTCGGATCGCAGGGTAGCGGCCATGCGCGGTGGCCTGCGAGGGCCGGCGATGCGGTCTACGCGCGGGCAGCTCCCGCGCCAGTGTCCGCGCAGTCGACTCCGCTTTCTTCCGCCGCGCTCTGGCGAGTATCGCTCAACCGATCCACATCCCCAGCGGCGTGGCCTGGGCCCCACTGGCCGATTCACCCGCCTAGATGGTGATGGAGGTCGTTCCCTTCGGGTTTCGAGGGGTGTATCCCCAACTGGGGTGGTGATTTGGTGGGGGTCTCGAAGGGGATGGGGCTGGGGATGGGGATCGGATTAACGATACCGATCTGTCGGATGAACCTCAGAACACGAGTCAGCGCCCACGTGTGCCTGTCCACCGAGGCCCTCCTCTGCCGTCGGCGCGCATCGACAGGTCGACCCTTCAAGATCAGGGGCGCTCTTGTGTCAGCGCCCTCCACGAGCTGCGCTAGCGTCAGGTCGGGCATGTCCCCCTACAGGCGGCTTCTGGACGAAACATCCAAAAATATCACACAGATGCCCCAAAATAGTCAGAAATTGTAAGAGAAACAAGAAACTCCAATAATGCCCCAAAATAGTCGCAGGAATGCCCCAAAAAAAACTCCCTCCTCCTCCTCCTCCTCCTCCTCCTCCTCCTCCTCCTCCTCCTCCTCCTCCTCCTCCTCCTCCTCCTCCTCCTCCTCCTCCTCCCTTCTCCTCCTCCTCCAGAAAGTGTGACTATCTCCAAAATGTGTTCGAATACTCCTCCTGCAGAGGGACACGCCCGAACCTGACGCTCCGGCGCGCCAGCGCGTGCGGGTCCGCCGAGGCCCTCCGCTGCAGGACGCGGGCCGCGCGGCGAGGGCCGACGCGGGCTGCGCGCGGTGGGCGGAGCCGGGCGGGGCAGGCGTCGGGGGCGCGCAGGCATGGATCGGCGGTCCGGGATCGAGGAGGGTCGAGGATCGAGGGAGCGAGGAGGGTCGAGGAGGGTCGAGGATCGAGGAGGGTCGAGGATCGAGGAGGAGCGAGGAGGTCCAGGGCTCCAGCCACGGCTCCCCTGCGAGGCGTCCACTTCCGCCGCGCCCGTCGGGCCTCGGGGTCTGGGCCGGTCCCGAGGCCCGGGGCAGGCAGCCTCAAGACGGAGCACCACCACTCTCGGGGGCGCGCAAACATGGATTAGCGATCCGAGGACTTGGCGCGCGGCCGCCGAATCCACGGATCGGGGGAGGTGCCCTCCCCAAAATGCGGCCGGTGCCGCTTTGCTCGGCGGCGGAGATCCGCGATCTCCCGCGGAAACGGGACCCGTCGCTAATCTTAAGTCGGGCGTGTCCCCCTACAGTGGAATTTTTCGACGAAAAATAAAAAATACCTCCAAAAAATGATCCCGAAACGCCTCCAAAAACCTCCTCGGGCTTCGATCATGGATGGGGGGCAACGATAGGGGGAGACTGGCAAGGGGGAGGGGATGCATCGACCTGGAATCGGCGATACATCGCCGCTAGATCGGCGACAGGCCTCCGATAGTGAAGCCGCCACTTCCTGGGCAGACTGGGGCTATCGGGCCGCTATCGGCGATCCATGGGCGATTGGGGGTCGATGCATGGCCCACCTGTGCCTATCCCCCCAACACCGTTGCCCACGAGGGAGGAGGAGGAGGAGGAGGACGAGGAGGAGGAGGACGAGGAGGAGGAGGAGGAGGACGACGAGGCGGAGGAGGGGGAGAAGCGAGATGAGGAGGAGGAGCGAGGAGGAGGAGGAGGAGGAGGAGGAGGAGGAGGAGGAGGAGGAGGAGGAGGGGTCGATGCATCCCCCCCTATGCCTATCCTTCCCCCGATCGCTGCCCCTGAATGGGGCCCTGATTTCCCTGGAGGAACTGGTAACCCCCCCTTCGGTGGTGACCGGTGGCACCTCTGTGCCAGCTCGTGGGAGCGTCCTGTATCATCTTGCTGGCTCTTGCGGATCGACGCTAACCGACGCTACCACAATGAATGGACGCTACATCCCCAGAGATCAGACGCTCCAAAAAATTTGGAGCGGGCGGATTTGGGCTGATTTCGGCCTCCGGGGCCCTCGCCTGGCCTCGGGAGCGTCAAAATACGACTCAGGGCGAAAAACCGGCCCTAGGGAAGTGGTCTGGACCTCCGACGCCCACACAATGAAAAAATTGGAGCAGCCGGATGTCTTGGAACCGACGCTACCTTAATGAACAGACGCTACATCCGCGCGAATCGACGCTAAGTCGACCTCAATCGACGCGACACTGGCGCGCTCTCGTCGCCTGCCAGACGCTACCGCACCACGCACCACACCAGGACATGCAAGGCTCCCGTGAACTGCTGCCGAAGGCACGCGAACGGCGCCCCTGCACCGCACCGTGTCTGGACACCCGTGCACTGCCCCGCTCCAGCGTGGCACGGCACGGCCCCGAGGGCCGAAAAGACGTGTGCGCCGTGCAACTCCCAGGTCGCGGCTCGACGGCGCATCGGGGGACGCCAACGCGGTACGGTGCACCCAAATCGTCCGCGGAGAGTGACCCTCCCGTGCTCGATGATCCTCAGAACGGGTGTCGGCGCCCATGTGCGCTGGTCCGTAGAAGTCCTCCACTGCGGCGCCGGTGGTGCAACGAGGGCCGACACGGGCCGAACGGGGTACTCCAGATTTCGTAATAAAGGGAGGGGGGTCTCATTTCAGGGGGGGTCTCTTCCAGGCTATCTTGGAGGGCCTGGGGGGGTCTGGGGACGATGTTTCGGAGGGCTCTCCCACGGGAGGGGGCTGAAATGGCTTGTCTTGGAGGGTCCAGACCCCCTCCCTTTTATTACGAGATCTGGAGTAAACCCTCTTCCCTCGGCGGCGAGGCAGAGTTGGCTGCACCAGCGAAGCAGCCAGGCGGGGGCGCCGAAGAGCGCATTGGCCAGCGTGCAAGCGGGGGACAACGGGGAGGCAGGGCGGCCGCGGAGGGGGGGAGAGAGAAGAGGCCACTCAGGGGCGGAAGGGCCTGCCGAACGAGGTAAACCATCCTCCTCCTCCTCCTCCTCCTCCTCCTCCTCCTCCTCCTCCTCCTCCTCCTCCCCCTCCTCCCTCCTTCCTCCCCCTCCTCCTCCTCCTCCTCTCCTCCTCCTCCTCCTCCTCCTCCTCCTCCTCCTTCTCCTCCTCCTCCCTCCTCCTCCTCCTCCTCCTCCTCCTCCTCCTCCCGCCCTCCTCCTCCTCTCTCCTCCTCCGCCTCCTCCTCCTCCTCGCTCCTCCTCCTCCTCCGCCTCCTCCTCCTCCTCCTCCTCCTCCTCCTCCTCCTCCTCCTCCTCCTCCTCCTCCTCCCTCCTCCTCCTCCTCCTCCTCCTCCTCCCCCTCCTCCTCCTCCTCCCCCTCCTCCGCCAAAAAGGCTCACCGGTTTGCGCCGCCCGAGCGCCGAGGGCCAGGAAGCCCGGGGGCACGGACACGGCCCCGCGGCGGAGCACGTCCGCGGTGCCCAGAGGCTGGCCGACCTCGGCAGCGCGCCGCGGGGGCGCCCGGGGCCCCCCCCTGAGAGAGCCGGGGCCCTCTGCCGACGGGGGGGGCTCTGCAGGCTCCGCCGGGAGGGAGCACAGCGCGGAGGGGATGGCCACGAGGAGGAGGGCGAGGAGGGGGAGGAGGAGGAGGAGGAGGAGGAGGAGGAGGAGGAGGAGGAGGAGGAGGAGGAGGGTACTGAGGGTACTGATGATCCGGGGTGGGTCGACACCCCATGGCACACAGGCCGAACGCAGGAGGCTAGCCTATGCTATCCTCCTCGTCCCAATCAGCTGAATCGTCATCCTGACGGCGCCTGTCACTCTCCCAAGCAACAATCGCCTCGGGGGTAGCGAAACCGTGCAAGTTCGCAATCAGTTGGGGTGATAAGGCCGGAAGCTGAGCGATCGCTGAGGTCGGGAGAGGATCCCCCTCGGCCGCAGCAGGAGCCTCTACAGCATCGCTGTTAGGACCCGCATCCCCACCAGCACCACACCCAACAGGCACACAGCCAAGCAAAGGACCCCAAACAGCTTTCGTCTCATCAGTCGGGCCACACGGAGTGCCCACAATGGCCTTACCCAAGTTATGGCCTGGGAACCAACCACGCCTTAAACGGGACCTCTGGGTCTTGTACCCCGAATGGGAGAACCCTTTGCAATTAAATTGAAGGCCTCCCCACGCACTCTGATGCGCCGAAGCCCCACAGCATTTACAAAAATATGTCATCGAGAGCTGCACCGTCATCTGCGTGGACCGTGGCCTGGACGATGGAATGGTCTCTGAGCACCCAGGAACCCCAGAAACCTGGAGGAAGTCCCAGGGGGCAGGATGAGGCGGAGGCGGTGGGGGAGGAGGAGCAGAGCCCATAGCACCCATGGCCCTGGGAACCCGCTCAAAAGGCCTCACCCCCGCCTCCTGGCAAGCCTCCTGGAGGGCCTGCGAGAAGTCATCCTCGAATTCCATATCCGCTGTACCGGCAATGCCGTCTGAATCGGGCTGCTCCAGGGACCCAAAAGCAGCCTGGGCACGTCCGTGCCACAAAACACAATCCCTGACGATTCGCTTGACGAGGGCGAGGACGAGGACGAGAACGAAGACGACGACGACAACGACGACGACGACGAAGAAGAGGACGAGGACGAGGACGAGGAGAACTTTACCGACCCGGACTTCGAAGAATCCACCTGGACAGAAACGAAGGAACCCGCAAAGCCTAGGCTCTGAAAAAATCGGAGCGGCCCGTCTTGGGTTTCTTTCGGCCTCTGGAGGCCTCCGAAGGGCACCGGGGCCGTCGAAGGCGACCCAGGACGCAAAGCCGGCGCCGAGGAGGAGGTCCAGACCTCCGGGGGCCCACGTATCGAAAGCAACGGAGCGACGCATGCCTGGGAAGGAAGAAGGCTTCGCCCCCAAGGCTGCAGCTGCCTCGGGCGCGCCAGCGTCCGGGGTTCTCACAAGGTCCCAGTTCAGGCGGGGCCTGAGGGGCGGACCCCGGTCTTGCTTGATCCTGGCGGCATTTCCTCTATTCTTCGAGGGCGTCCAAGATTGGAGATTCATGGCCCGAGGCATGGTTCGCGGCCAAAAGGGGGGGGGGAAGCCAGGGGACGCACTGAAACGAGAAGATGCGAAATGACATCCGGGGAGATATCATAGACGCGGCCACGAGATACAACCTCCCCTAAGTAGTCATCACCCAACACTTGGCCGCCCCCGACTGTTGGAGGGCAAGAGGATGGAGAGGAGGAGGAGGAGGAGGTGGAGGAGGAGGAGGAGAAGGAGGAGGAGGAGAGGAAGAGAAGAGAAGGAGGAGGAGGAGGAGGAGGAGGACGAGGAGTAGGAGGAGGAGGAGGAGAGAGAGGGAGAGGAGGAGGGGAAGGAGGAGGAGGAGGAGGAGGAGGAGGAGGAGAGGAGGAGGAAGGAGGAGGGGAGGAGGAGGGAGGAGAGGAGGAGGGAGGGGGGGAGAGGAGGAGGGGGGGAGGAGAACGAGGAGGAGGAGGAGGAGGGGGGGAGGGGGAGGAGGAGGACGAGGGGGAGGAAAGGGGGGGAGGAGGAGGAGGAGGGGAGGAGGAGGAGGAGGAGGAGGAGGAGAAGAGGAGGAGAAGAGGAGGGGGAGGAGGAGGAGGAGGGGGGAAGGAGAGGAGGAGGAAGAAGCGAGAGGAGGAGGAGGAGGAGGAGGAGGAGGAGGACCAGTGCAAACCCAAGAGTCATGAACGATGTTGGAGTAAACCCTCCCTCCAAGTTCCCTCTTCACAGGCTCCTACAACGGTTAATCCCCAGTGAGGGAACTGCCTGGGCGGACGACAACCGTCTGCAGAGTTTGAAACCTGCCAAAATCCGCCGACCCTGTCGGCGTGTGGAAGACGCATCCCGGTGTCGTCGTCTTGCGTGGATCACCGTCGTCGTCGTCGTCGTCGTCGTCGTCTCCGTCGTGTCAGCGTCGTCTCCGTCTCCGTTGTCCCTCGTCGTCTTCGTCGTTCCCCGTCTCCTTGAGCGCGCGAGCCAAAGCGACATTGAGCAACGTCGTAGTTGAGTCGTGGCGAAGCCCCTCCCTACCCTCCCCGCCGGGGGGGGGGGGGGGGGTCGCCGGGGGGGGTCGCCACCCAGATACGCATCCTCCCCGGGGGGTCCCGGAGCTCAGAAAAGCTTCAAGACGAGCCAAGAGCGACAGAAGACACCCCCAAAAGGGTACAAGAGGGCCTCGACTCGACGAACGATGGCCCAAGACGCCCAAGACGGCCCGAAGATGGCCCAAGAGGCCCTCAAGACGCTCCAAGAGAGCCCCAAGAGCACACCCAAGAGGGCCCCAGGCGCCAAAAGATTTTGGCCTTCTCGCCTTTTCGGCTTTCCGACACTCCAAGACGGCCCAAGAGGCCCCCAAGAGGCCCCCAAGAGGCCCCCAAGAGCGCCCCAAGAGGCCTACAAGAGGGCCCCAAGACGGCCCAAGAAGGCCCCAGGACAGCCTAAGAGGCGCCCAAGACGGCCCAATAGGGCCCCAAGACGGGCCCAAGAAACGGCCAAGAGGGGGACGAGGAACCGAGAATTCGAGACTTCCGCCCTAAGAGGCCCCCGGGAAGCCCCAAGAGGCCCCCAAAAGGCCCCAAGAGGCCCCCGAGCGGCGCCAAGACGCCCCCAAGATGCGCCGAAGACGGCCTCCGGAAGCCCCAAGAGGCCCAAAAGAGGCCCCAAGAGGCCCCACAACGGCCCCCAAGAGGCTTCAAGTTGCCTTCCAGACGCCCCCGAGAGGTCAACCACGAGATCCCAACCAACATCCATAAGGCCTCCTCCTCCTCCCCCTTCACCCTTCCTCCTCCTACTCCGTTCCGCCTCCTCTCCTCCTCCTCCTCCTCCTCCTCCTCCTCCTCCTCCTCCTCCTCCTCCTCCTGCCCCCCCCCCCTCGTGTTGTCTTTCGTCATCTTCAGGGTCGGCGGCAACGGCCGTAAGGCCTTCGTAATACTGTTCTCGGGATTCCAAAGCCACGGGTCAACCTGACTGTTGCGTCTTGACGAGCCTGAGTCGCGCAAGAACGCCATTCCTGGGAATTCAACGCCGCGAATCAACGTAACTGTTGCACCCGCATAAGCCTGAATATGTGAAGAACGCCATGTGTGGCACGCTGATCATGGAAACCCGTGCAACTAGTGAAAAATACAAACGAATGTGCGTGTGCGGCGCTGAGGCGAGAGCCACATGTTGAAAACGGGTCGCCCTCAATATGCAGAACTCTTGCAATTGTATAGAACGAATGTGAGCGGCGCTGAGGCGAAAATCACATTTTCAAAACGGGTCGCCCTCAAAGAGAAACTCTTGCAATGTTTGAAACGAATGTGCGCGGCGCTAAACCGAGAGCCACATGTTGAAAACCACCCGCCCTCAATATGTGAAACTCGTGCAATGTTTGCAAGCGAATGCGCGCGGCGCTAAGGCGATAGCCACATGTTCAAAACCGCCCGACCTCAATCTGCGAAACTCTTGCAATGTTTGAAAACGGATGTGCGCGGCGCTAATGCGAGAGCCACATGTTGAAAACCACCAGCCCTCAATATGTGAAATTGTTGCCGATGTTTAAGTTCACGGCCATAAATGGTGAGGAAATCTCAGGCGGAACGCCCGGTCCGCCGTAAAAACTGGCCTCGGGGTGCAGGGAGAAGTTATCTAGAAGGAAACGGAATGGAGGAGGAGGAAGAGGAGGAGAAGGAAGAGGAGGAGGAGGACTAGAACTAGGACGGCGCGCCGCTGGATGACCCCAAGGGGGGGGGGGAACCCCCCCCTCTCCCCTTTCCTCGATCCGTCGTCGGGGACCCCCTCCCCCTCCCCACTTTCTCGATCCGTCGTCGGGGAACCTCCCCCCCCCTCCACCCCTTTCCCGGTCCGTCGTCGGGGAATCCCCCCCCCGCTCCCCCCCTTTCAAAAGGGGGGGGGGGTCCGAACCCCACCCCCCCCTCCCCCCCTTTGGCTACCAAATTCGGACCCCCCCCTTCCCCCCTTTCGCCACGGCGCCCCTGGTCTCCGGAACCCGACCCCTACCACCCCCAACACTAATCCTCACATTTGCCTTAACCCCTAACCCTAACCCAAACCCAAACCCTAGCCCCAAACAGTACTCAGTACTCGTTACGCAATACTCACTACCCACAGTTCACTACTCGCTACTCGCTACTCACTTCTCGCTACTCAGTACTCACTACTCACGACTCACTACTCACTACCCACGACTCACTACCAACGACGCACTGCTCACTACTCCCTACTCCCTACCCACTACTCACAACTCGATACAGACTACTCACTACTCACTACCCACTACTCAATACTCACGAATCTCTAAACACAACTTAGTACCTATTACTCGCTAGTGACACATCACTACTCATTACCCACTAGTCACTATCCACTACTCACTACTCACACTGCACTACCCATTACTCACTGCCCACAACTCACTACTCAATATCCACTACTCGCTACAAGCTACTCCCTACTCCCTACACAGTAGTCGGTA